CTTCGTTCTTCTGTCTCACAAGCCAACTGCCAGTTCACGGTAATTTACATTCGGTTCAGACTGATTTTGCTATCTTCCACCGGCCCCTTGTCCTGTCACTAGATGGACTGAAGCTTACTCTGCGTGGCAGCATATATCAGATATACATGACCTTTACTTAGTTAAATTGGTCCATCGAAAAACGAAGTTCTTCGTCCTCTCTCTACTTCTTGGTAAAGTCAATACTACAGACTATGTCTAATGGGCGTACATTTACACCATCAACTGGTATGTAGACAGAACTACAATTCACACGCCGTGAAGCAAATGCTCCGACCTAAATACAAGGGCGAGTCTGATAAGCAAAAATGGAAGTGGTTATTTCAAACGTTCGCCGCAAATCTGATATATACTGTTCTCACTAGCCTACATCGTGTTTTGAATAAATTAGGCGAACGGCAAGTCCCGCCAAGAAACAGATGAGGCGCCTACTACCATGGTAACCATCACGATAGTATTCCTAGACCATGAGGTTAGACAAAGTCAGAGAGGATTAGGAACTCATGAGGACTCGCTCACTAAAGTCGGCGCACATGACAGCAAGCATATTACAGTGCTGACTGCCCGTCTTTGTTTAACAAGGGTTTGATAAATCGTTTGCATGTATTGGCTACAAGGATTTTTTAATTATAAAAAATAGACGTTATCCATCAAAGACCGAAAAAGATAAAACTTGCTTAAGCAAATTTGCCATTATTATTTTAGTGGGCTGAAATTCGAAATGACGAAACGACTTACTTACTCGCGACTTGTTGCGCTGTCCTCTCATCTGGCGGCTTAGAGGCCGTAGGAACCTATCTTAACCGCTTGTCTGTCTCGCGGTAAACATTTCCACCGTTGTACCGAATATTTTGACATTTTTATCGCCTTTAAATAATGTATTTACAGCTGTCATTGGTACGTTTTTGTCGGAAAATAGTCTGTTCTACCCCGCATAACTCTAACCTGTCCATGTCCTTGTTCTGAAATCACACTGATAAAAGTTGATTGCCCACGTGTTAACAATTATCTAGCACTTTTATATTAGGTTTGTGCTTCCACCGAACCTCCTCGGCAGTCGTGGGCAACGTGTCTGGAGTACCACTTAGAGCATACTGACCATTTTCGTTATGCGGTAGCAAAATCTGTATTGAAAACGCCGCTGGAAGACAGGACTTCAAGCGATAAGAAATATAGGTTGCGCGCGGGCTGTGGGTTGAAAGATTGAAGTGCTGACCCGTCAGCTTATTTTGAGGTCAGCTCACATTGTGGCGATAAAAGTGTCAGTCTTGTGTTACCTTTCACCGTTGCACATATGGAAAGCATATGAATGAATCATGTAGTACTGCATGTTATGAACACTTGTCTTCGACGACGCCGTAGTCTGCGTCACTGATATGGTTTTTTTGTAGCATGCACAGCCAGGTTAACTCTTTAAATTCTAAGAGGCAATCTCAGGAAGGAAACAAGAATATGTTCTTGGTTTGTTGTAGTGTCCTCCGACAAAGCGCCGAACCTAGTGAAGTCCATAACTTGTTTCGGGGTAAAAACAGTTGATTTCCCATGAGAGTGTACACGTGGCTGATGCGCATATTTAACAATATGTTTGAATTTTTACTAACGACCTCTTCGGTGGAAATGGACCGTCTGTCCATGTGCCCAAAGACCACTGCCAGCGAAGTTAATAAGGCACCCACGTTTTCCAGTTATTCCGTCAATAGTAGACATCGTCTATAAACTTACCGAGCACACTTTCACCGGAACTGGCGTCAGTAATAGGTCTGCAGTTGTAGTTATGGTTGTGGCGGCGATGCATGCGTAGTTTAATGGGATAGTTTGACAGTGGGAGCCTTTTTTAAGTGCTTAGGTAAGGATGCTTTCCCGCTGCATTTTCAATCGTACATGAGTTGCTGGTGGTAGAATAGGCATGACGGTCTGTGGAGGAACTGCCTGAATAAAATCGAGGCAAGCGTAGTCGTGTCTCATTAGAAGTGATTAATGACATTTGGAGGTGGGACAACTGTCAAGCCTAGTCCCGACTTCCGCTACAGCCGACGTGACTCACGGGCATACGATGGTTCTTGGTTCGCGACTGGTAATTACAAGTAGACAAAATTTTCGGAAACAGGCTGAACGCTCATAACTGCAAATGTAATTGTGATAACCTACTACATATTCTATTCGGAGTTTGTCTAATTGTAGGACTTGCGATCGGGGACTGCCATGACGCCTTATGCGGAGGACGCATGTAAGGCATCAGGTCGATGAGGTCGTATGGGTGAGACACCGCGAAAGGATTTCTCACGGTTGTCCGACTGCCCATTGGACTTATTTACTTATCACTGCCAGCCGCTCTTGGTGTTTACGGAAGAATGTACATTTGATACATATGTCTCGCGTGTTTGGTGTTCGCGGAAACGGGGCTTTCTACATCATAACTGCAATATGCTGCCCATTTTATAGAGGTCCATCAAACCTTTCAACGACTTCCGTCAGCGTTCTCAGCGACATTTTACTTTAAAGGCGGGCTTTTACACGCTGGACCCCCTGGGAAACATTGGGTAAATAAAGGCACCAAAGACGTCAATGAACAGCGGCAGCTGTCAATACGTGCGAAAATTTTAATGCATATCCGTTGACGGATACGCTCACATACTGATCAGCCGCAGGAATTCTAGCTCTACACGAAAAGAACAGCAGTATGTTTCTGTCTTTACGGCAACTCAACACGGGTTCAGTTGTTCTTAGGACGGCGAGCCAATTTTTGCGAGTTCTATCCTGCTTTCCTAAGATCATCCTCAACCTTACCCTGCCAACGTCAAAACGCAAATGTTAACCTCGCCTTAGAGACGTGTAATACTGCGAATAGTACGCATTATCTGACCTTCAGCGTACATGCATGAGAGGAAATTGTAAAAAATACTTAGATAAATCGCGACAATGAGGCAGCTGCTCGACATATTGAGTGCTAAAAAGCAGCCTTATGGAAGCAGATATTTGTACCCTTTCATATTTCAAGACCCCGCCGCGTCAATTCACACGCAAAATAGCTGTTCAGGGACAGTAATCGGTCAATGGCGGAACGCATAGCCCACTGCGACGACCTGCAATTAATGTTCTGCTGGCCATTAATTTGCAAATTAAGCAACTTTATTCATCACTCCTAAATAGACCGAGTACATTGGATCTAGAAGGAAACCGGGATGGGGTCATCTTTACCCTGTGAATATAAAGTCGACGTCAACTTTTACGCCTTCACCAGAACCCCAGCTACACAATGTTTTTTAGGCCTGTCAGTTGCTTTCATTACTCATCAAGTGAATTGACGTTATTGACTTGCCTAAGAAACTTGTTTTGACGCTCAGATTCAGAACCGTTCACACCGTATTTTATAACCTCTCGGATGTCGCGAGTGATTGCTTTGCAGGCAACATCGCCTGTCACTGCTCCTAGTGAGGTTAGTACCAAAGGTGGACCAAGTTTGCCCCTTGCCTTATGATTAACCAGTTGTTATCTACGCAAGTCGCACTTCTAGCTGAGATGTAAATTCGAGTCTACTTCAATTACTTAAGTCCCAGTTTGAGGTAGACATGCACCCTCTCAGACTTTGAGCATGGTCTTTTTCGCCAAAATCGTTCACGGATCTGAAAGACGTGCCTTCCACAAATTTTAAAAAACGGCAACAGGTTCATTAAGCAACAGTGCGGTGTACGAGAAAAGATAACCCTCAGGCTTGCTTCTCACACGTAATCACTACTTCATCATCAGGCGCCGTATTTTTTGAACTTAAGTTTCTCGTAGGGGGGGGGGGGTTTCCGCTTCTCTCTAAAGCTGTTCCCAGGATCAAAGAATTCCGGCCCATCACTGCTTGTTCCGTCGGTGCGTTAGTGAGGGATTGTGTTGCCGCATGTGCACATCTTGCCCGCGCCACGTCAGCGCCGCCTTCGCATACGCACGCATGCCTAATCAGTCAACGTGTCATTCACAAGTCCATCACACCGTGAACTGGCAACCCTGGAAGTCACTCTATCATTTGGGAGCTTTAGCCAATCAGTGTGCTAATAACGTGTCGGCATAATGATAGCATCGACCATTAGTTTAGGCCGAGCGTGATCAGTCAGACCGACGTTTATCCGACCCTGTCTTTGCATAATACACGCGTCATTCCGTTTGTTAGTACCTAAATCACTTAGCCTTCACTCAGCGTTCGTTTTTTTCGACAGGACAGTTGCTCACGACTGAATGTCGTCCATTGTCAGACAGCTTTTTTACGGACCGTCAATCGATTTATCGATCTGATGCCAGCGCACGGAGCCCTGCGCAGCCATCTGCAGTCTTGCGCCATCGGTCTATGATTGGCTAGCACGCTTTGCAATTGTCGCTAGTTCTGTTGTTGCTACTATCTCTGGCGATTAACTCCTGCACTAGTTCGAAAGCTCAGAACTAAACAAAATGTTCCGGTGCTCAACCAGCCTTCTTCTTCGCTTTACCCCTCTCCCTGCTGTTACATTTAAGACGTCGAGTCTGCGACGGTAGCAACGAACTTGATTCTGCATTCCTTATCTTATCCATCCGTTGAATGCCCCAGACTGTAGTGATGAGTGTCAAAATAAAGTCAGTCCTCCATGCAAACTTCAAATAAGTTCCTTTTGGTAAGAACTTCATCATACGGCCGACCTCCGTTTCTCCCGATGTGTGTGCTACCCAGTAGCAAAATTTCCGAGAAACCATGTTGCTGCTTGTATTTTTTTTGACTGTCTTGGTATTTTTACAACAGATCCGACCTCATACCCATTTGGTTTTTTTTGCTCATGTGACCTAGAAGACTGGCGACTTGAGGCGTCATGGCCAAGGGAAGGCTTATCGAGGACAAACCACGCAAACGCAAGCCGAGTCATCGAGCGGAGGAGAATAAGCAAGTGGAGAACTCGGTGAAATCCCCTTTGCCTCAGAAGCTTGCCTCAGAACCCAAGTTCTCCGCCATGGAGAAGTCCCGAATGCGAAGACCTCACCGACGTCAGCATTCAAAGTTCTCTCTGGACTTTGGCAAAGACTTTCCCAAGAGGTTTGCTACCGGCGTCCTTGTTGTCATCCTGGTGGCAGTCCTTCTCTACTTCGGCCTCCAACGTTACAATCTTCTGCGTCGTCAGCGACAAGTCTACTCACCCATCCAGTTGCCGAGGCTAGTTCAGCCAAATGAAACGGCTCCGGAAAATTCACCTGAACTCTTCTGGGGCACCTATCGACCGGGTATCTACTTCGGCATGTCTCATCGCAGCCCTCATTCTATGCTCTTTGGACTAGCATGGGCCACTCTTGGCACTCTGTCTCCACAATTTCGTCATGAATGTTTGCTCGAGGATGGTCTTAAAAGGTAGGTGGGCTTCTATGTCGAAATGCCTTCTTTGCTGCGGATCTAAGAGACTTTATGCCAAACTGACTGTAACTTTTCTGGCTAGAACCAAGGTGTCCAGGTGTGCTTTGATTCTCTCTGTCTGGTTTTCGTCGAATTTGCGTATCGTATTTTACAAAAAGACGCCGGATCATACATGTGCATCACCTTAGGAGGGGAGGTGTGAACAGGCTAGAGCTGACTTTTGTGCTTCTGAATACGCGTGCGCATCCCGATTCCCACGAAAATTGGCAGATCACTGAGTACCTTAATCGCCGCCTGTATTGGCGTCAGAGTACGATTTGACCGAGTGGACGGTGCGTGACATAAGACTAACCAGTCCTGCTTTTTGTGGCGGGAGAGCCCATGACAAAGAAGAGCAGTGTCTTTTGATTTTCCATGTTCAATCCCGCGAATCCAGTCTGAACTACTGACAACTGAGATGCTAATTGTGTTTTCCTCACACGGGCTACACCGCAAGTCCGCTGGATCAGAACGAGGTTACAGTGGTTCATGACACGCGTTTCATCGACCCGCGCCGTCCATACGCGTCCCGATCTACTGTCGTACTTGCGTATGGTATACTTTAGACAGATACCTTCTGCCCCCGCCCTCCCCCAGCTCCTGCATACCATCGTCATATTCAAGTTCAGGAACCGACGACTTGCCCCTCCCAGTCGTGGGGAGGGGGGTGTCTGTAACCACGCCGTTTGAGTGGTTATGGTGGTTTGATGTTTGCACACTGCTACGTGAACGAAGCGGCTTCTCTCTTTACCTTTGCTCAGACTTTTCTTAACTTTAGTTGCTACTGTACCCTGAAAAAGCTCAGGACCTCCCGGAGAATGCTTCTGTCGGTTCATGACACACGTTTTATCGGCTCACGCCGTCTGTACGTCTCCCGACCTACTGCCGTACTTGCGTATGGTATACCTTAGAGGCATTCAATCTCCTATCGCCAGTTAGTTGATAGACTTGGACAGTTTACTGGTACATAGCAGAGGGAAGACAGTGAGGCCGATGTTGGGGAATTAGTCCTCATGACACGCGTTCCATCGGCCCGCGCTGTCTGTACGCGTCCCCATATACTGCCACACTTGCGCATGGTATACTTTAGACAGAGGCCTTCACGCCCCCCTCCCCCCAGCTACTGCATACCATCGTCATATTCAACTTCTGGGACCGACGACTTTTGCCCCTCCCAGTCGTGGGTGAGGGTGTGTCTGTAATCACGCCGTTTGAGTGGTTATGGTGGTTTGATACTTGCACGCTGCTACGTGAACGAAGCGGCTTCTCTCTGTACCCTTGTTCAGACTCTTCTGAGCTTGAGTTACTACTGTACCCCGGAAGAGCTTTGATACGCGTGCACCTCAGAACTAGAGTTCCGAGTCAAACGTACTTGGGTTCCCTTCAAAGCATCCTCCCAGAAGGGCAGTACCATCGTCATATTCAAGTTCAGGAACCGACTTCTCTCTTTATCCTTGTTCAGACTTTTCTTAGCTTGAATTACTAATATACCCTGGAAAAGCTCAGGACCTCCTCCCAGAAGGGCAGTATCATCGTCATATTCAAATTCAGGAACCGAAGACTGCTCTCTTTACCCTTGTTCAGACTTTTCTTAGCTTGAATTACTAATATACCCTGGAAAAGCTCAGGACCTCCCTGAGAATGCTTCTGTCGGCTCACGCCGTCTGTACGTCTCCTGACCTACTGCCGTACTTGCGTATGGTATACCTTAGAGGCCTTCACCAACCCCCCCCCCCTCCTCCTCCCCCCCAGCTACTGCATTCCATCTCTTATCGTCAGTCAGTTGATAGACTTGGACAGCTGACTAGTACATAGCAGAGGGAAGACAGTGGGGCCGATGTTGGGGAATTAGTCCTCGCAGCAAATCATCGCATGAAATCTGGCACCCTTGAACCTATCACTTCGAGGACGTTAATGACGACGCGCTCCGTCCGATAAAACACCCGGGATAGTTGTCGGACTAAGGAGGCGCTGAAATGAGTCGTTGAGCATCACTTTAAATACGCCCACATGCATTATTAGTAGGAAAAGAGTTGAAAACGTTCAAAATGTGTTACCAGACATAAGTAGGTTGCATCACAAAGATGGGATGCAGCAATACTGGAGAGAATGCCGTTACATATGCAACTGACCCGTCTGGAGTGTGAGGTGGTCCCGACTTGTCCGTTAAACTACCTGCAGGGAGAGATGTCAGCGGTAGGAAGGGAGGGGGCACCGGCTACCTTCGGCGATAAGCGGTCACACCACTTCCACCCTGGATGCCCGCAGAAGTTACTGTAACCCACTTAAACAACTTTGTGGAACCCGATGTGCGTTGCGGTCATGGCTGCGAAGGTTGCTAACTGACGGGATAACTTAGTCCTTCTGAGAGCAGAGGGCTGGTCTACGAGATCCGAGATCTTCGCTAAACGTAGTCCGATAAATATACTGGGCATCAGGCCGTGTCTGTGGCACACGTGGACGGGCCATCTAGCTTCGTCAGCTACGGCGCCCACATTCGCCTCCGGCCGTCGTCAGTCTGTTCCGTCATCAAAACAAGATGGGTAAGGGGGGAGAGAGCGCGAAAGGCGTTGCGCAAGTCTGCCTTATTGTGAACCCGGGTCATTCTTACGCCAACCTCTTTGGGCAGCAGTGGACCTCATCGTTTGCGACGCCCGGATTATTGTGTACTGTGTGTAATTAACTTGGCTATCATCATAATTCCTTTTTAACTGGTTCCAATACCTCTAGCATCATTAGCTTATGCGGTCGCTGCCAGATCATCCGTTGTTACTATCAACTTATCCCGTCATCATCTAACACAAAAAGTGTGCGACATAGTATCCTGCTCATTTCTTTATTTATTACATCTACATCATCGGCGCTAATCTGAACAGGAGGCTCAGAGAGATAGGGTTAGGGATGAATTGGAGCGCAGATTAATAAAATACGAGACTTAACCAGCGGTAGGCGCCTCTGATGATATTGCGCCAAAACGTTCCGGAGGCACCACTTATCAAATACCGAGTTTTCTCAAATAAGCAGTGCACAGAGACTGGATTGATTTCTCACCCATCGATCGGGGCGGCCTTTGCTCTAGGTCCATATACAAGCAACGAGACTGGGTATGTTTTGCGCGGGTTCTTTGCGGTATTCAACCTCGTTTCGGCATTATCCTGCCGAAGTCTTCTTTGAGGAGCAGGAGGGGAATACTTCTGATGTGAAACCCATTAGCAGCACTTTGATACGCGGGCACCTTAGAACTACAGTTCCGAGTCAAACGAACTTGGGTTCTCTTTGAAGCATTCCCCCAGAAGGGCAGTACCATCGTCATATTCAAGTTCTGGAGCCGACAACTTTTGCTCAATTAGAAGCCCCTCTCAGTCGTGAGGGAGGGCGTGTCTGTAACCACGCCGTTCGAGTGGTTATGGTGGTTTGGTGTTTGCGCACTGCTACGTGACCGAAGCGGATTTTCTCTTCACCTTTGTTCAGACTTACCCCGCACAGGCTCAGGACCTTTCTGAGAATGCTTCTGCCGGTCTAATCAAACTCTGCAGAACTCTGTTCTTGGACCAGTCATTCGGCGGATGTCGCGTTTTCCTAAGCTTTAGTTCATGCATCTTCTTTTCAAAATTTTCAGTCATGCAGGACATTCGGCGCACCAGATTTGTTAAAAAATCCTTTCGGGGCAGCTGATCCCGTATACACGGAGGACAGTAAAGAGCCATTATTCGCCAGCAGTGTAAAACAGTCTTTAATGCCCTGTTGAATACTATTGGGAATTTTCTTCGCTTCCGGTGCTGTTGAAGTCGATCCCTTTAGGTGGTGTGGAGCCCCGTAAAACGGGCCACGCCGAAGTTTCATTGGACCAACTCGGGAGCACAGCACGCATTACTTGTGCTGCGGACATGACGATGTGTGGCGGCACGCCTAGGCGCGGGCTTCCGCCGCGCCGGCCACCTGCGCCTAATGACCACGTCAGACGTCTAACCGTCTCGGGCAGTGAACTGGTGCATGGGATAGGGAAGGCAGAAAGTCGGGTCGACTCGACGCAAATCTCCACTACAAACAGTCGGGCGCATCTTTGAGCTATCACGGTGCGCTGAAAGCTATGACTCGGAAGGCTCTCAACTCACGGAACAGCTCAGTCCTCGCAGGACGGGGAATTAGGCTGCAATGTGGCCTCGATGGCGCCCCAACTCAGATTGAATCTGAGCCGTTCCCTTTGTCTCTGTGAAAACTTAGTCCGTCGTGCGCAGACCACGTCGCGTGTGGCACGCTTAAACAGGCCGTTTAGTTTTATCAGCCACAACACTCGATCTCACCTCCGGTCCTCTTGACCCCCTCTATACACCAGACTGAGGTGGGTGAGGGAGGGAGGGGTGCGATAGATGCAGCGTACGTCTGCTTTCACTATAAACTAATCCACGCATAAGCCACCGTCCTTCGTCCACTTTGTTGTAGGAAACACGATGGACATCGTCGTCCGCGACGATCGAAATGAGAAAAGGTGGTGTCGCTCGCAGAGTTGTCTTGCGGTGTGTGCGGTTCGAACTATGTTATCCGTCTCTGGATCCTCGTACTGGCTATTAGTCGATCACCGCTCCCTGCCGAGCGTTTCACTACAAGGATTTTGACAGCCTGTGTGAGGTTGTTTGTCCTGACATTAGAGTACCTCCTCTGCTGAAGACGACCGTGGTGGGTCTTTAGTTTGCTTTCCACATTTGGAGCGTTCAAATCACCTTTGGTCATTTTTGTGAATAAAGCTTACTAGAAATGGTAGCCCTTCAAGCTGCGGCCATTAGCGCACGATGATGGGTTGAAGTGCGTTAGGTGGCGGAGAGGGAGACACGATCGCTGGGACAAGTGCTTTGTTAACCTGACGTTTGGGATTCTTACTCGGATTCATCATCACAGACAGAGTCAGGTAAGGGTAGTGGATTGCCCAGATGTTGCAGTATTTATTGGATACAGTTGCTAGGCCGCTACATGCCTATCATAGTTGACATCGGCGGAGTGCATCACAGCTCGACTGCCCAGGTGTGGAAGTATGCAATTGCTATTCGCCTGTGTGCCGGTCAGGATTATCGGTTCCCACGCAGGCGAATTGCTGCCTACCGGATTTCGTTATCCGTGTGGACTGTTGGGCCGACTGTTTGGGTCGCCGACATTGACGCCAGGGACACTGGTCTTCCTAACGCTCTCCTCGCTGCTAACTACTCTGCCTACGCAAGGTCTCAGCGCTGAATATGTAGCGGGGAAGTCGTTGCGCTTGTTGATTAATTGAAGACCATAAAACCACGACTAGAGCAGTTCGCGGCTCATGTAGTTGTCACCTCTAGCAAGAACTTCTGTTTCGCCATACTTGAATGTGCGGTTGGGTCTCGTCGAATGAACCGCGACTTGGTGGCTGGCGTCGTTCCTCCTCACTGCCGCTGCGTGCTCGGCCATCCGCGTCCAGAGTAGTCTTCCCATACCTGCTCCCGCCTCTGATGATGGATTCTAATGAGCATCCGAAACGTCCGGCTAATAAAGTCCTTGTTCCAGCGATCGTGTCTCCCTCGCGAATAGCGACATTCGCGAACGTCCACTTCCCAGCTGCATATTTCGGAACTGTCCGCATTTCGAACCTCCTCCCATTGTGTTCGCAGTTCTCCCAACTACCGGCGAGACGTTTTACTACCCAGTATCTCGTTCGTTGTACCCGGCGACAGCCACGGCTGCAATGTCCAACCGGACGTCAGCTCCCGTTCGTACTTGCCACAACAGGACTCGTCCCTTCCTCCACACAAACCAGATTTTGCTCACTCGTATCTCACATGAATTAGAGTTGCCGCGAGGGCAAAAAGAGAGCCATTTTAGTGTGACCTTCAGTTTGTGGGAGGGTCGAGGTATCGCGCCAGTTGGAAACCGTCCACTTCACAACTTTTAGGTCATCGTGCTAACTGAAAACGCACTGGATGTGTTATCGTTAGATTAGTTCGCTCAGAGTTAGCTCCAATCCCCCCCGCCCAATATTCCTCGCGCACCGAGACAGGCTGACTGAATATGATAGCCGACACCGTAGTTTACGCGGTAGAAAGCCGCTGTCTCTAGATTGCTTACGCGCCTGGTTCCCGTATGGGCTTTGGCACGAGAGCGCCGGCCGTTTTCGGGGCTCATTTCGCCCTTTATGCCACGCGGACGCGCTAGACAGACGTGAAGTAAATAGTCGCCGGTCCCCGCTTCCCGAAAGTCACTTCTCCCCCCAGTTCATAACTGACTGCTGGAATCCTTTTCAGTATTACTTCAAATACGTGATTTTCCCACTGATTCCTGTCTCTTTGTAAGAGGTCAATTGCATTTAAGGGTTGTTAGTTTACAGAGGAGCATGTAATGACTGGGACATTCGGCCCGCCCTGACTACCGCGCAATCCAAGGACTCGGTCCTGTTGAGGGAGACAGCAAACACCGGTAGGTCTTTATTCTATGCAGAATGAGAAATACAGATGTAGGTAACATGGTGACGGGCCGTGTCAGCAGTCGAGGAGTGACAGCCCAGTTGACTGACACCTCTGACGACCTGGTTTTACCAATGAGCTTTCGTTTGAAGTTTTGGTTGCCTGAGTTGTGAGGTGGGTGTCAGCTGCGGGTGAGAGGCCGAGATAGAACCTCGAAAGGCCTTTTAACCTCACTTTTTTTAGAGACAAATGATTCCAAAAACATAACCGTCTCCGAGCCTCATCATTCAGATTCAGTCTTTCTTCATGCTTATGAGCGCGCCATCAGCGTGTGCCTTCTCTCTGTGTGCATTGTAGCTACGGATGGGTAGAGCATGATGGTCGTAACTTTGGCGTCGAAACAATCATTGATGGCAATCATAACATCACCGTCTCCTTCGTAAAGCGTTCCTCTGGCCCGTATGGCGGCGATTGGACTGCCAGAATCTCCGTTTCTGCCGCTCAGAGGGTTAGTTTCCTGCACATTTTACTTTTGTTTTGTTTTTACTTTGTTTTGTTTTTTCACTTTAATATATACTAGCTGGACCCCGCCACGCGTTGCTGTGGCTCAGTCTGATGAAATGGAAAAGAAAGAAAAGAGGAAGGGGCGCGTTTCTAATATGTTTAAGTTCATAATGCTTGTCGTTGCGTTGCCTGTGCAGGTAAAAAGATTGTCTGGTTTGCCGACTCGCGTGCACGCAACGTAAAATTGGCCGTGTGAGAAACATCAGCCAGTCATACCCAACCCCGAAGTGTGGAACACCTGAGGCTCGAACTCGCGACCAGTTAGTTAGAAGTCCACGCCTCTAACCACTGGGCTACGAGCCTGTTAGAGGCGTGGACTTCTAACTAACAGGTCGCAAGTTCGAGCCCTGGGGTGTTCCACACTTCGGCGTTGGGTATGACTGGCTGACGACGGCTAATAAGCCAGAAATGGCCATTCCAGTCTCCCTTGCCTTTGTCGGTAGTAACATACTGCCTATATCATGCGCCGCTGTGTGGCTGCTGGTTGGGCTCGAGAGAGAGCCCGTAAGGCCCAACGGAACGAGTGAGTTCCGTAAGAAAGATCGGTGAGCGCCCCCTACCATTATATATATACACACACAAGTAGAGAGATTACTGACGGAGACAAAAGAGACTGAAATGTGAGAAACAATCAATTTGCAGACGATCTCAACCGCACATTTCTAAGGATTAGCCCTGAGCTTTGTTGATTGTGATTGCAAACGCCAATCGAATCGGGAGTTTCAGCCTCCAAAATTGAAATGGCATATCAGTTGGAATTAGTGGAATGCAAGGAATAAGGACATGTTCACCTTTGAAGGATCCTGTCAAGATAGTGGCTTCCGTGACGTTGTTTATTAATGGTTTTACTGCAAGCCGCTAGCCGTTGCAAAGCCTCGGATGGTTGATATTTCGCAGCACGATAACCAGTACACCGATTTTCAATTGCAGTACCTGCGCCGCCGTCCCTGGCAGATCAAGTGAATTCAAAATTTCTGTGGGATAATTAACCGCCTCGTCTGCTTCCACAGCAGTGCCAACGGACGTGTGCAGGACTGCCTCGCTTTGAATCCTATACTGAATAGTATAGTCAAGTAGGTAGACTTCTTTGTCCTTGGCCACAAGAGAATAGCTCGTTCGCTCAGCCAATCGGGATCCGTATAAAAGATTGGAATGTTGGGAAATACCTTTGCAACCTATTCTTCTTTTGATGACACTAAATTGCCGAAGGTGGTAGGCTGTGAAATACGTTCCGAAGTCGGATCAACCGGCACCGTTCCATTCCTCTTTACCAGCAATTGGTGTGAGAATATCTCAGCTGCTCAGTCGTTTGACAGCTGGAACACGCATATGTGTAGTTTATTTTAACGCCTGGACGTGACGCCAAAAAGTAGAGGATTTCAGGCTGGTATTTATTTCGTCCGCTGGTGTGCATCGAGGAATTACAAGCAGTGTTTGCCTGAAGTCTCCAGCAAGCAGTGGCAATGCGTCTCCAAATGGTTTGCTGTTTCCGCGCAAATCTTGTAATGATCGGTCAAGGGCCTCGACCGTGTTTATGTGCCATTATGCATTCATTGTTTGCATTTATGCAGTATTTTTCCCATGCCGGATGCCTTGGAAATGTTGCACGTAGGAGTTTCGCTGATTTGCACGTTCAACGGCAATTGTAAAGCTGAATAAGCGGTTCTTCCGCCGGGTAGCAAGGTCGCAGCTATTCCGGACGACGCAGGAGCTAAGGCTATGTCATTTTGGATCAAAGTGCTGTCAGAATCAGTCGTAGTAGGAACGTTTTGCCAGTCCCTTTCTGGTGCATCCAAAAAGATTACTCCAACCCCGCCATTGACAGTCCGCATTATTTGATCGTAAATACCATCCTGTTAGCTTAGGAACGCCTGATTGCAGATACGACACAAGATCAACCCTGTTGTAGTTTTGCTCACGCCACGCAAATCCACGTCTAACGAAGTAGCAGCAGATCGCTTTTGGTGTTGGCTTTCCCATTTGATTGAGAACTTTGTTCATGATCTCTACCCACACATCCTCAATCATTACTAACGCCTCGTTGTAGATTTTCTGCTGTGAAGTTCGCATTTGAATTGTCCCTGCGTATTCGAGGGAAGATGCCTTCAGTCATGTGCGACCCACTGGCCGAGGCGGGGTGGGGGAGGGGGTGGTGTTAACTGCATGCAGTCGTCACGCCCGAGCCTCCCAGCAGAAGCAGTGACAGCCCGGTTATGTGTGTTGTGCGGCAAGGTCAAGTGGAACCCAAGAGTTGCAGGTCTTTTTTTCTGTGTGGCTCGCCTAGCGGCCTGTACTGCATCGGCCCAGAGGGGGTGGGGCATGTTCAAGTATCTGCGGGGGGTGGGGTGGGGTGAGCGCAGCCGTCGGGGGGAGTGCGTGTGTTTGAGCGGATGTCGGTCAAGTGGCTCGTGTGTCCGAGTGGCTGCCTGTCAACGGGCCGCAGGCCAGCGTGTCAGCAGGTGGCGTTGTTATGGCAGAAAAAATCATGTTTTTTTACCCATCGCAGGCGTGTCATCTGCATTACTATGAAGGTAGACATAAGAAAAACCGGCCCTGTGCGCAGGCAGGGTTGTGTCAAAATTTCAGCGCAATCGGTACAGTACTTTCGGAGATTACCTTCCATATATATATATTTCATTTTTATATATAAGAAGAAGATAATCTCCAATTAATAATAAATCGCCCTCTCCGGACTATAACGCCAATTTAGCCATTTCTTTTATTACTGGCTTTTGTCGTCGGTGGGGGAATCTCAGACTAAATATGAATACGACCACGCTACTAATACATGGCAGGCCCTACAAATCCAGGTGTTCTATGTAAATATGTTAACTATCGTAGTCAGGACGTTCACCAATCGGGTTGCGGGACACGGTTGTGCCGTTGCGCCCCGGCAGGCAGGAGTACGGACAACCGCAATAGACATTTCCGGCTCATTGGCCGTCATCAGTCAACCTTACCCAACCCAAAGTTGACGAGTTCGAACTCGAGATCTTCGGTGTTGGAACGTTAATTCCAACGTCCTCTACCAGTGTATCTCTCTAAAATTCATGCAACTAAGGCGTACAACTGCTTACGAATTTCATAGCCAACTTGTCCATCTCTACTCGCATCTATACGCGAATTTACGATCTATTGGCGCTTTAACGCCGTGTCTGGCGGTTGCTTGGAGCGATGTAAGTAGTTTGCACCTCAAATGTGTTCGAAGAAGGACCCATGAATAGCTGCCAGTATGACAGCTTAAGGTCGTGCTGCCGCCTGTTTTAGGGGGCGATTGTGTTGTCGGCGAACTGTTCTGCATAAATGGCTGCCTGCAGCGTCTCAGACTGGCAAAAGGCCAGCCAAGGCGGGCGCATGTGTGCGTGGAAAACAAGGATAGTTGCCTTGGGTTTCGTTGTCATAGCAGATGGCAAAGCACTTAGGCTGGCCGATAAGATCTGCCAGTTTGGATTCAAAAGCCATATAATCCCATTAAAAAATGTCGCCCTTCCAGTTTACGGGACAGGAGTGTAGGAACTCGCATGAGAAAATCAGTCGAAAAAGAAGTAGTTTACACGCACTTATGTCCTGCACTTGCGAGGTAGCAGCGTAAGTGCTGTCGGCGGTCGTGACCGCTGGCCGCTGGCCAGTTTCCGTCATCTCAGACTTTCTCAGTCTCGGTCAGTGCTTTTCACGTCATTAAACTCATCTGGCTATCCTACGCTCTCTGGCATGCCCATACAGGTTGACTTTGGGTTCGCCGGCCCTGAAATTGGCCTTCGGGTAGAAGCCCAGCCTGCAAGTCAGCGAAGACAATGAGAATTTAACTCAGGTTAGTAAACGTAAGAGATCCGGGTCGATAATCTGAGAAATGTGAAGGGTTCACTGGATCGGTGAAGAACTAAGTGACTGACATTTTGACGGCCTTGGCCGGCTCTCCATTATAAAAGCGTTTTGTGCACAAAATCGGCCGGAACTTTGAATAAACGGCCGAATTAGTTGGCCATTCGCCGATCGATTTCTTCTTTTTTTCGCTGCCTTGGCCTTCTGGCCGCTGTCTGTGAATGTAGGCAACCTTCTGCATTGCGTGTCGTCTCCTCAACGGGGGTCTGTTGCACCTTTGCTCCTCTTTTGGGTGACAAGCCGTTTTTGCTCGGCATTTTTAGACTGCATGTGACCGTCTGGTCCTGGTCGTGACGTATGCAGTGACGCAAGACTTCATAGACCACAGGAAGGTCTAGATGCCTGTTGATGGAGTTGGCATCTGGGTACCAAGCCTCAAGTGTGAGACTTCATGTCTTTGAGGTGCTCCGGCTAAGGACGGTTGCTCCTTAAAAGTCAAAACTGTGGCCGGGTTTTCCGATGTGAGTTGCAAGCTGTGAGTTCGGGTCCGGTCTCGGAGTCGCCAGTTTGTGCTCGTGTAGACGGGTCTGCAATTTCCGTCCGGTTTCCTCAACATAGTTGTAGTCCCCGTCGTTACAACGTATTTGATAGACAACTGCTGAGGTTCCAGTGGGTGGCAGTGTGTTTTTGGGTCGAATCAAACGGCGCCGAATTGGTGCCTGGGGCCGAAGGACAATGCCTACTCTGGCGGGGGACTGTGATGAGTAAGTGTAACGTCACCTTCGCACGAGAATACCGTGTGAAACCTCAAGTGGTTTGTCATCGGAACTGTAATTTAAAATTAAAGATTCAAAATAATCCTCATGATTTTCTGCCATGACCGACGGTTAGGTAAAAAAAATAGATGCGCCATATCTTACTGGTGGTGGGACAAGCCCTAACAATCAACTTAAAGAGTCAGTTATTACCTTTCAGGCGTACCTTTTTTATTTCTCCTCTTTAGTCGGTAAAACCGCGACCGATAGCCTTTCTGTTCTACGCACACCTTCCGGACTCCACCAGAGGCATGCTGCAGTCCTTCACTCACGGCAATGAACTAAAACGCCTCCGTGGTAGGTCTCCAATTTCATCAACCCCACCTCCCCCCCCCACCCTATCCTCCTCTGAAGTCACCGATCGCATCTGCCTTGGCTATCTCTCTATCAATCCCCTGTCTTCACCAAAAACTGGGTGCGTCATTCGTTTCACGACAAAAGGTGGATTACCGCGGGGTCCGGTAACCATTTACGTCACCTTTGAAGTTGCTGGCAGACGATATGGTGCGACATCTCAGCCCTGCTGAACGTGACTTCTTCTGTTTCGCCGAGGCTGAATTGCACCGAACTTGCGACCTATTCGTGAGGAACTGAATGAACCGGGCGGGGTGATCACATCCAGCCCAACTGACTGAGTGGTTGTTATAATGTGTCAGACTGCTACAACAATGGTACAACTTCGTTTAGACGTCTAGATACAGGCATATGCGTAGCAACTGACCTGCTATGATGTTTACACGTGCCACGGGCGCGCCGCCTTACATTGACTCATATTGACTGAACTTAAATCGCTCAGATGTCGCACAATCGCCCCGTAAGTTCAGATTGACAAGGAGTCATTGCAACCTGGCCTTCAGTCGGGCAGCCCAAACTATTCTGCCAGTTTGAAGCCCTCCAACTCTCAAGGCAGAATTATGCTCATTCTCATGCGGGTGAAGTCGAATGCCGTGATTGACCAGGCACTTCTACCCGCCATCTCGTTTGTCACCCACACGTTTTGGCGACCGTTGAGGTCTTGGGATGATGATGTCGCCTGCGTGGGGGGAGGGGCTCTCATCGTGCGGATGCGGTCAAGAATGACTCACATTTCCTCAGATGCGTTGCCAAGTCAGGTCCTGTGGTCAGCGTGCTACATGCCCGAATTACGCATGCGTCTCCAGATCTGGATGTCTCGATAGTATTGGTGGTACGGGGACTCGAATTTCGTCTGTGACATGCCAGAAAAATAGGACGTAACAGTGGTCCCTCGCAATTGACGAAGACCACCATTACCTGGGCGAACAATGGGGATTTACGTGTAAATTGGCCTATTGGGAGGGGGATTGCGCAGCGTCTACCTCACACTATCTCTACCTGCACCTATCATGTTCCAGTGGTCAGAGCCAAGATGTGAGTGCAGTGGTTGAACCCACATCTACGCGTACAACGCATGTGCTACACACACCAACCAGCTTTCCAATGTGTCGAAACCCTCCTTAAGGAGTTACCATGGACCAAATTAAGAAGGGACCATTGTAACCTCCCCTCGGCCTATTACAGGATCCGCTTATATTGTCAGTTGGTAGCATTTCAAACCGCGATTTCAGGTGCGTAGGGACAATTGAAGGCCCTTCAGACTCATTGTTAGTGTGTAGTGTTTTGATTGCCTTAGGGGAAGTGCCTCAGTCCCATACGCCTTCAGGACCCTTTAAAGGCAGATTTCTGGCAACCTTATGCAACCCCGCAGTAAGATCGAAAAGGCCGTGGTTTTACCCCCCCGGGTCTGGTTTGCACAACTGTTAGATCAGGCAACATTTTAGTCTAGCCTTTTTACTAAGCTCAACGTTGCCGCCGGTAATGGCATTCAAGTAGGTGGCTCTGGGGTTACACCAGTCCTACATGTCTCTCTTCGTGAACTACGACAGGAGCATGACAGTGGCAATAGGGGAGTTTTTTGCGAAACATCTAAGAGTTCGTACCAGAAGTGTGGAGTACATTCGACCGCCAACTGTTGGCCTGTTCGCGCATCTCACACAGAGTCTGTTGAACCTAACTGCTTTATAGATTCAGTCGCCTGAGTCGGTTTACTTCGTGCCGCCCGTACGTGGAGACGGTGTAAATAAGTGCAGAATTGTACAGAAACACGGCTCTATAATTGACATGATTAGGAAAATTTTAATGCTACATTTACAACCAAATGTCTCCAAGCGTACAGTCGGAAGGTTATTGTACAGTCAGAAAGATGTAGCGTATAGTTGGAAGTTACGGGGGAAGAAGACGGGAGATTCAAATGTTACGAGGGTTGGAGAAAAATAGAATGACATGATTTTCCGAGGGAAACAAAAAACTTAATGTATACGCTAAAAGGTGTCAAAAAGGGACAACATACGTGGGAACGTACATTCCCACCCAAGATTCGCGGTTGTCGTTGGTGCGGGTATCATTCATCGCTTGGTTTGTGGTTCTCTAACAGGCACAAACTGCGCACGTCTCTCAGTAATCTCCCCTGTTGCGTTCTCAGTACAACATCTGTCACCTTTCCGTCCTTCGATTCGAGCAGCTTTTCCTCTACGGCCTTCTTCCAGTGTCCTCGTGGCGCTACTTTGTCAACTACAAGGACCAGATCTCCTCTACGGAGTTGTGGGGCCTCACCGATCCACTTTTGTCTAGCTTGCAACGATGGTAAGTAGGCACCGATACACCTTTTCCAGAATATATCAGCAAGATGTTGGGCTTGGCGTCACCGTCGCTTAAGTCTACAGGGGCAGCATTCCTCAACAGATGGTGAAAGGTTCCGAGTGCTCAGTAAAAACTGTTGGGGAGTGAGTACAGAGTACTCGTTCGGGTCCGTACTGCTCTTAACCAGCAGCCGGTCATTCACTATCTTCTCATTCTCGGTTATGGTTGTTATGAAGACCTCATCTGTGACCACTTGTGAACCCAAAAATGAACGTAAAATCCGTCTGACGGACCGTATCAGGCGCTCTCATACTCCTCCCCGATGACTCGCTGTGGGGGGGGGGCGTGAAGATCCAATCGCATTCCTTCTCCGCAAGAGAGCTAGCTATTCGGTCCTGGCTTCAGCAATTCCGCCAGTTCGTTCTCAGCTCCTCCAGGAGCATGACAGTGGCTATAGGAGGTTTTTTTGCCAGTCACATCTAAGAGTTCGTACCAGAAGTTCTGGCCAACCGTCGTCTTCACTTGTAATCCCCACGAGTTTGTTGACTGGATCGCCTTTTACCGGATGTAGGAGTCGGGGAAGAATAATTCACGCTCCATTTCTGACACTGCTTCGCCAGACGCCGTTGTTCTTCTTAGACTCCTCACCGCCTCTGCTCCGCGTAACTTTGGTCTGCGCCTGATACAACTCTGCCTGCCTTGCTTAATTTCCGAGGAAATTAATGCGCGAACTTGGAGTAACTCTTTCGAAACAGGCCTTTTCAGGCACGGTCCGAAATTTGATATGAATATTTGAGCTGAAATCCATCAGCTACTGCGGACTAACCGCTTAATATTCACAAACCGCCAACAGGCAGCCAGTAGTATAGCATTGTGCAATAATTTACCGTACTAACAACACAGGTATTAGCTAAAAGCTAATACCTGTGTTGTTAGTACGGTAAATTATTGCACAACTCTGCCTATTTTCTCCGAGGCGTCGTTTCTGCTCAACTTGGGTACAGGCACAGTGAGATATTTTTCTTAGTTGTGCCCGAACAAGCCGTAATCTGGAGGTCTTTTTGACCAGGACAGATAGTGCGCGCCTGATTCTGACATTTCACCAAATCGGCGAACTCCACCATCTCTATGATGACCGTAGACGTTTCGGAAATGTCCACAGCAAATCTCCGGTTTTTTTTTTCGTTAAACTTCTGAACGTATGGTGGTTCGGAGAACTCAGTGGACCCTTCTGATTTAAATCCTGTTTTATGGTGTACCCTTGGGGAGGGACTTGTGGCGTAGACACGATCCGAGCCTAATGCGATTTCCACTTCTGTCCGTCGACAGAGCCGAACCGCATTCAGGCACGGGGCGATTTTGTGCAACTGCTCTGCCCTCCTGCGTGTCCGTTGCACCTAACGAGCCAGTGGCTACGTTTGCCACGACTGCGGACGACAGAATGCTGCGTCGTTTTTACCTGTGCACGCATTCCGACCCAGCGGGCCATGACATCTTAAAAGCGACTACGCATTGCACGTATTCCTGCACCGAGACAGTTGGCGGATATGCAGAAAGTCGCGCCCCAAGTTTTTCGTTGGATTTTTTTAGCCAAATGACAGCGGTGGATGGAGGGCGGGCTGAGGCCGGACCGCTTGAAGTCTTATGTACATACCTGTCACAGACGTGTGCCACGGGATCCTTCATGTTGTCCTTCTGATAGACCGGTCATGCGTCGAATGTGTGTGCCCCTAAAACGGGCCAGGCGGGAGATGCGCCGGACCAACACAGCGACTGGATCGGAATCCGGCGGCGCGTTATCTAGGCTGCACACGCGTAACAAATGCCAACACGGCTCACGCCGTTCCGATTGGGATCGGTGCCGGATCGGTGTATAAAACCCTGGTCAGTGTCTGGTATGGACCAGTGGGCTTGGTGGTACGCCTAGACGCGGGTTCTGGCGTGGTCGGTGTGCTGCCTATAAACCAGCTGCGTCATGGTAGCAGTGCCATTGTTAGTTCACGGTCGCTTAGTTACTAGGCGCGGAGCCTGTCAGCTTACAGTAGGTGTGCTAACTCATGAAATGTTAACTGGAATTCTGAAATTCGTTTTCGTTTCCAAAGGACTGCTTCAGTGGGGTTTTAAAATTAATAATCGTGCTGTATAATTCTATAATAAATCAGTTACCTCGAGATGCCGGCTTTCGAACGGACTTCTTTCCGGCCACATGCAAAAACCACATTCTGTAGAAAGCGACTACTTAGGTAGCATGGATTTTCCCCATTGATTTTGAATGCCCTTGAAAATGTAATTATATTTAGTGGGAAACATGCATAAAAATATTCATTCTTTTACTCATTTTGCGGAAAATTGAGTCTTCTTTAAATTTTTTACTTGAAGAGAAAGTATAATTCGGTTTTAAAAACTTTTCCAATTCCTGAATAATTTTGAACCCGACCTGCCGTTACACTTGCATTGAAGGTTTCAAAACTACAAGGTGTGTAGTTTCAGTATACGAAAAATCCTACGTTTCTATACGATATTAAGAGGAGACAATTTAGGGTTCATAAACTTCAGCATTGGATCTGACCCATATTGTAAACTTTACAAGAAACCGTAAATGCACAGACATGATGTTTTATGAACGAGAATTTCAAGGCATTAAAAATCTCATAATTAGAAACCTTTCTAAAACTTAATTATATCCCTCCTTCAAGTGTAAAATTTTAAAAGGACACAATTTTCTACCAAATGAGTTAAAAAATGAATATTTTTAGTCATGCTTTCTATTAAATATTTTTGAATTTATAGGAACAAGCAGCTATCATTTACAGAGCGTAGTTTTTCCAGGCGGCCGGAAAGAAGTTCATTCGAAAGCCTGCATTTTGGCCTAACTGAATTTTTATGGAATTATGCTACACGGTGATAAACATTACAACCATATTTAGGTAATATTTTTAGTACGAAGCACATTTCAGAATTTCGGTTGACATCTCATGAGTTTGCCAATTTGGATTGAACTTTCTGACAGAGCGGACAGAGGAGTGCGAATGAGGTACAGCCCAATTATATTTCATGGCAAACGTGCATGAAAATATTCATTCTTTTGCTCATTCGGTAGAAAATAACGTCTTCTTCTAGTTTTATACTCGAAGGAGAGAGATAATTCAGTTTTAAAAAGTTTCTAATTGCGGGACTTTTAAATACCGTGAAATGGCCGTTCATATATCGTCATGTCTCTGCATTTACCAATGTGGCTTGTAAAGTTAACAATATGGGTCAAATCCACTGCTAAATTTTATGAACCCTTTATGGTCCCCCTTTATTACCGTAGAGAAATGTGTGGTTTTCTGTACGCAGAAAATATACGGCTTGTAGTTTGGAAACCCTGAATCCAAGTGTAACGGTACAGCGGGTTCAAAATTATTCGAGAATTGGAAAAGTTTTTAAAAACCGAATTATACCTTTCCTTCGAGTATAACGTTGGAAGAAGACGTAATTTTCTACCGAATGAGTAAAAGAATGAATACCTTTATGCACGTTTTCCATGAAATATAATTGAATTTTTAAGGGCATCGACAATCAATGGGAAAATTGCCTGCTACTTAAGTAGTCATTTTTTGCAGAGTGCCGTTCTTGCATGCCATCGAAAATAAGTTCATTCGAAAGAAGGCACCCTGTGGCAACTGGACCATTATAGAATTATGCTGCATGATGATTAGTTTTACAACCATACTTTTTAAAAACCGAATTATCTCCCTCCTTCGAGTATAACGTTGGAAGAAGACGTTATTTTCTACCGAATGTGCAAAAGAATGAATATTTTTATGAATGTTTTCCATGAAATATAATTGGGATGTACTTCATTCGCACTCCTCTGTCCGCTCTGTCAGGAAGTGCAATCCAAACTGGCAAACTCATGAGATGTCAACCGAAATTCTGAAACGTGTTCCCGACTCAAAAATTTTGAGTAAATTAAAAAAGCAACAGCAACAACCGGCTTGTTATCGAATCTGTAATCCGAAATTGGATGGACAAGATGATCATTCAGCTGTTCATACAAAAGCCTCCCGCAGGCCTTATCTGGCCATTTGGCCGAGTTTACTCCGATTTCAAATGTTGTGGCGAAGGCAAGCGAAGGCAGGGCGCGCAAGTTTGATCCAATTTCCGATCTCGTCTTAACCATGCGCGCTTGTGACGAAAACTTCGACCCACGGTGGTAGATGCCCATTAGTCAGAGAGCTCGAATAACGGTGAAAGCCGAAAGGTCAAACTAAGAAAGCGTGAACAATCCTGGCGCGCACACATGTTCTGCTGTTGGTGCCTTATTTGATGCCCTGAGACCTCTCTCTCTCACACACACTACACCTTTTCTGCCGAGTCACAACCCATCGACTGCGTCCTCAGTGTAGACGACTCGGCTCTGTGATGTTTTGACCTGAAGGCGAATTCGCCCGTTATGCCCGTATTGTTCCAACTCAGCCTTTATGTTGAGATACGCAATTGATGACGGGAGTGGGCGTAATTGAAAATTAAATTCGGTAACAATCGGGAGATGGCACCCAAAAAATCCGTTACTTAGAAATAATAACTTTAACAGGGGACTCAAACGCCCTCAGGCTATATCAGCGGTTGCAGGCCTACTTTCACGCACTACTTGGACTTTTCCCGACGGCCTAACATGGGCTGGCCGAACGAACATCGCAGGTGGTTATATGGACGATGGTCGCTGTTACCCAATCTTCCTCGTCGTTACACACGTACACCTGAATATACGGCATACATTCGCATTATGGCAATTTATTACAAAACAAAATCACTTTTAAATAGGATAAGTCTGCCCAACATGGGACAGGAACAGTTCCCAGGCATCTGTCAAAGACATGACAGTGAGGCAAAACCAAAGACGATGCTGTACTTCGTCTATGGGAGCGCACACAGCTAGATCACATACAGGGCCTCCGACGTAGAGTTTCCTTTTCAGTCTGTTCAAGTATGCCTCAATGGCATTGGTGTGCCGTCCGGTGGTAGGGTCCTTGAAGTTCTTTGAGTGGTTAACAGAGAAATGTAGAAAACCTGAGGGAAGACGATTATACGCCTTCCACTCGTCCGCTACCACTATACTGCCTTTGGCGACCCATTTTGTAATAACGGAACGGAGAGCGGGCCAACTTCGATCATTCACCTGTTCAAATAAGGCTTTCTGTCGGCTAGTTTCATACATCCCGACCAGCCATTACCCATAAAACCCCTATTACTACCTGTCCCGTAAGACAGGCTGCTTTCGTTTGGCGGATTTTTTGGGTGCCATCTCCCGATTGTTACCGAGAAGAATTCATGCTACTAAAGTAGTCCTTTTTACAGAGTTTTATTTTTGCATGCGGCCGGAAGGAAGTTCATTCGAAAGCCGGCATCCTGAGCTAACTGAAATATTATAGAAGTATGTTGTAGGCTGACTAGTTTTACAACCCTATTGAATTTATCATTTGGAAATGAAAACGCATTTCGGAATTTTGGTTGACATTTCATGAGTTAGCCCACCTACTGTAGGTCTACGAATTAACTGACGAAGCAGGTAGCCCTGGTTGGCTGTGGGCGCGTGGTAAGTAATAAGATGAAACTGGGAATGCAAAGGCTGTAGTGAAGACAGCCGTTCACTCAGAAGATGTCTACCTTCTCAGGTTGCTTTCTTTCCCTCGAATTCATCTCCCTGGACTTCGGCCCAGGTATTCATACATCAAATTTCGGTCTGCGCCTATTGACCCTACAAAACACGGATCTACTCCGAGTTCGCAGTTAATTTCTGAGGAAATTAAAAAAGCAACAAAAACCGGCTTGTTATCGAATCTGTAATCCGAAATTGGAGGGACAAGTTGATCATCAAGCTGTTCATGCAAAAGTCTCCCACAGGCCTTATCGGGCCATTTGGCCGAGTTTGCTCCGATTTCAAATGTCGTGACTGAGGCAAGCCAAGGCAGGGCGCGCCAGTTTGATCCGATTTTCGATTCCGTCTTAACCATGCGCGCTTGTGACGAAATCTTCGACCCACGGTGGTAGATGTCCATTAGTTAAAGAGCTCGAATAACTACCGTGACGGTGAAAGTCGAAAGGTCCAACTAAGACGGCGTGAACAATCCTGCGCGCACACGTGTTCTGTTCTTGGTGCTTTTTTTGATACCCTGAGACCTCTCTCTCTCTCTCAATACACCTTTTCCGACGAGTCACAACCCATCAACTGCGCCCTTTTTATTCGTCAGTTTAGACGACTCGGCCCTGTACTGCGCCGACCTGAAGGCGAATACGCCCGTTATGCACGTATTGTTCCATCTCAGTTTCTATGCTGAGATACGCAGTTGAGGACGGGAATGGGCGTAGTTGAAAATTGAATTCGAGCACTTCTCCGGTCCTCCGGTTTCCGTGGCCAGTTCAACGCCATTCTGCAGTCTATTTCGGACTGACTGCAGTAGGAGGCGATCATTTCTGACGCGCTTAACCTTCTCTAAGTTGAACAAGTCGTAATATTTGTTGCAGCAAGTCCAAGTCTGACGGTCGCTCCCATGCATCCGATGTCTACACACCGCCGCTTGTGTTGTGCGCCTTCTATCGGTGGTGGCAACGTCTTGAGCGCTGTAAACGACCCCTTGACCCTTAGTGAGTTCGCGAGGAGGCTGGATCCAACTAGCACCTGCCACGCACACACCTAATAGCGTGCTTGCGCAATAACTAGTGCACAAGTGACCCAAAAGCATCAGCCAGCGTCTGTTTGTCTGCTACTCCTGTGCCCTTCGGTCTCGTCTGATTTTTCGTGTCCATTGGCCTATCTTTTGGTCAAGTTGTTTGACTCAAACTCCGTATTTTTTCGAAGGGGTTATTGCAGGCTGACCGCCAGTCCTGAAAAGGGCCAAGTTAGTTAGCCTCCTAGTTGGCAGTCTTCCAAGCCATGACTGTCTAATATGCAGGGCAGATTTTAGCTTCAAAACATCTCCATCGCTTCAATGCGGCGTCTTGCATTCCAAATATGTGCTACATTTGTTTAAATCGCTGATTATCATTCAATCGGCAGAGCGTCACCCTTGTTTCGAGTGCTAAAGTAAAAGTCTGACTGAAGTGTGCAGGACACTGCGATTCCCTGTATTCCATAGATATTTTGGCAGATTTTGAATAATTCATATTGACCCAACTGTGAAAAACTCGGCGCCTCGGTGGGATTCTAACCCACGCAGTAAGGGGAAGGCTCTAATACAGTCAACGCTCTATCCACTTGAGCTACGAGGCCCCGCCGGACGACGCGAGTTTAATCACATTTGGGTCAAGTAACCCGCCCAACCTACTGCAACGTCTGGAATCCACCAAATCTGATACAGTAAGTTGAATGCCCAAGCAGGATTTCTTAAGTAACTCGCCTAGAATTCACCAGATGACTACAAGGCTCACGTAATTCATAGATGTTTTGGCAGATTGGGTCAATATGAATTATTCGGAATCTGTCAAAACATCTATGAATTACGTGAGTCTGGTAGTCATGTGGTGGGTCCTAGGTGAATTACCTAGGAAATCCTGCCTGGGCAGTCAACTTACTGTATCAGCTTTGGTGGATTCCAGGCGTTGCAGTAGGTTGGGCGGGTAAACTTGACCCAACTGCGATTAAACTCGCGTCTCCCGGAGGGGCCTCAAGTGGTTAGAGCGTTTACTGTACCAGAGCCTTCCCCTTACTGCGTGGGTTCGAATCCCACCGAGGCACGGAATTTTTCCACCGTTGGGTCAGTATCAATTATTCCCTCTATTGTCTCTGCGCATGTAGCCTTGTGTCTTTGGTTGCCGCACAACCGAAATTTACTTGTCCAACCGTAAGGGAGGATGGTAGAACGCTTGCAGAACGGAATACGAAATATGCTCTGAGTTCCAGCCAACCGTTACACGTGCTATCCGAGGTGATAAGGGAGTCGGTCCACAATGGTCGCTTATGACCTACTCTTCTTTATCTTCTCGGATCGGTGAGCACCCCCCTCCACCATTGTATATTTCCGATCGAAACCGACAGGACAACGGGCCCGTGGCTCAGTGGTTAGAGGCGTTGAACTTCTAACTAACAGGTCGCCAGTTCGAGCCTCGGGTGTTCCACGACGGTTAATAAGTTAGAAATGGCCACTCCAATCTCCCTTGTCTTTGTCGGTAATAGCATTCTGCCTATATCATGCGCCGCTGTGTGGCTGATGGTGGGGCTCGAGAGAGAGCCCGTAAAACACACCGGAACGAGTGAGTTCCGTAAGAACGATCGGTGAACGCCCCGTACCATAAAACTACTCCATTATTGATTGCTCGTCGCTACGCCACGTACATGTGCCAGTCAAGGACACCCTAGGGGCCTACGCTAGGCGCGTGCACAGTTTCGCAATCGGACCGAATCCATGGGCCTCACGCATACATGACTGAGTGTTCTCGATGGCGGCTGGTAGAGCACCCGGACCCAATAACCGACTAGAGCCGGGTATGACAGGCTTGTGACAATAAACAGGACAGAAATGACCATCCACGTCCACTGACCCTCCTTTGACTCTCCCACCTACTTGACAAAGCCTCATTATGCATGCCTCTACGGCCCCCCTTGCCCTCTTCACTGCCTTGCAGGCTTCACCCACGAATTGGGCGCCTTTCAAGTAAACTTCCACACGAGCAATTCGGACAGCGGCGGTAGCGTCGTCGGCGGCAAAACCCTGCATCAGAGTCACCTCTCAGGTTACTGTCCCCGAGAGGACGCCCTTCTGCCCTCCATCGTCTCCGCGCTGGCCTTCAAGAATCGCGACTCGCCGCTCATCTACCTCATGGAGAAGCAGCGTTTTGACTCCGCCTTCAGTCCGCCCAGCCAACCCAACCTCTGGGTGGCCGAGGTGACCGTTCAGCCAGAAGAGGCCGGTCCGGCCGACTCGCCGCTACCGCCGCCCATGACCGCGCTGGAGGTGGAGTTTGTGAGCCAGGCCTCCACCTCCTCGGATGCCGTACCGCTGATTGGAAGTCACTTTGACGAACAACTGGCTAATTTCTCAGCCGCCTTTCAGGCCAAATTCCAGGCTCGTTTTCCTGTCTATGGGCTCAGACACTCGGAGGCCGAGGTGAGTGTCGCCGTCTTGATGACCGCAATAGTTGTGCTTGCAGTAGCGACAGCAGCAGTAGCAGCAGCACTGGTAGCAGTAGTAGTATGGGTGTTAGTAATAGCAATAATAATAGTAGCAATAGGGATAGTAGTAGTAGTAGTAGTAGTAGTAGTAGTAGTACAAGTAGTAGTAGTAGTAGTAGTAGTAGTAGTAGTAGTAGTAGTAGTAGTAGCAATAGTAGTGGTAGTAGTAGTAGTAGTAGGTGGTAGTGGTAGTAGTAGCAGCAGTAGTAGTAGGTGGTAGTAGTAGTATTAGTAGTAGAAGTAGTAGTAGTAGTAGAAGTAGTAGTAAAGTAGTAGTAGAAGTAGCAGTAGTAGTAGAACTGTCGCATAACGCACTATTATCGGCGTTAACATGAAGTAATGATAATCCCATTAACGACAGCTTCCGTTTCCTAATTACTTGCGTGTCGGCCAGTTACAACCTCTGCTTATGGTGAAATGCCCTCATTCATCCACAGTAAGTGACAGTAAGAAAGAATTACTTAGGTGGGATTGTAATGGTGGTTATCATGTAGCATAATCCCCATGATATTTCAGGCAAGCAAGGATGCCGATTTTAGAATGTGCGTTTTTCCGGCTGTTTACAAAAAGTAAACTCGCCAAAAATGCTTACTTAATTAGTAGGCGCTTTTTCCGTTGCTTTTCGATGCCTTTATAAATCCGAACACATTTTATGAAGGACGCACGAAAATATTCCTAGTACTGATTTTTCAAAAAAAATTAAGTCTTTTTCAAATTTTTCACGAGAAGAAACGGCATTGTTCGGTGTAAAAAGGTTGCAGTCTTGAAGTCTATTGCAACCCTGAAGTCCGTTTAGATAGCATCGCATCTATCGGTTTATGAATACGACGCGGTACATGTCCATTATAAAATTAGGCGAGGTTTGGTCCTGCAGCCCTACATGAGTAATAACATATTGTTAGCTTCTTAAAAAAATTCTAGATGCGAATATGCTGACTTTACAAATATCACGTATTTACATCTTCCTTACCATTTAAATCCAGCGAGTGACTGTGCCACGCTGGGGGAAGTGCTTATACGCCAGCCTCGGTTACTTCAGGTATCAGTTCACACGCGAGTGGCTAAGCTCGGATTGTTAACTAATATTGTTTTATTAAGCTAACAATACGGTATAACTCAAGTGGGTCTGCAGAACCAAGCCTCACCTAAAATTATGTGGGCCCAACACGACATCTTAGTCGCATCGAGGAATGCATGATTCCCCCAGCGATGGAAAGTGTACAGCTTATGACATGGAAACCCTAAAAACTGATTTAGCGACAGGTTGGGATTCAAAGTCATCCTGGAATTGAAAAAAGATTTAAACCGAAAGATACCGTTTCTTCGAAAAAGCATTTGAAGAGGGAGGAATTTTGTTCAAAGTGACCTCAAGAACGGAGATTTCGGTTCACGCTTTCGGGGAAAGCATGTTTTGATTTTTGTGGTCGTCCAAATTAAATAGAAAAAAAACGCATGCTGATTAGGAAGGCACTTTTAACGAGTGCAGTTTTTGCAGGGAGCCGCAGAGACGTGCACTCAAACGCCAGCTGTGGAGCGCATTCTACCCTGGGGGCAGATTTCAGACTTTCAGTTAGTGTGTCATGAGTTAGCTCATCCACTGCACCGCCTCGTTCTCCGCTGGGAAGTGGCCCGTTTTGCAGAAGGCATTTGTTTGGCCTGTTAACGACGTCGTCACCTCACTGCGCGCCCGACCTGCTCACCAGCGCTGGCGGCCGTGTTGAGGCGGCGGCGGCGGCTGCAGGCAGGTGATGAGTCATCATCCTCATCCTCAAACGGGCAGACCTTTTCCCGCCCGCCTAGCGCTTGGTGGCTGTAAAAGCCCCAAGCTGACATTTGGCCCTGGGGTAAAGGCGGGTTGGGGAAGTGTCGGCGGGGATGTTGTTGTTGTTGTTGTTATTGGTGGCGGTGGCGGCGGTGACCTGACTTTGAGAGAAGAATGCTACTTGAGGCGAAGAGACGAGTCCCAGGAAGCAGTCGTGGAGAATGAGACACGATCGCTGAGGCAAGAGCTTTATTCACCACTTGGGGTTGCAGTTGCAGACAGACCGGAGGCGACCATCGGGCGTCGGGTAATGAAACCGAAAGACCCACTGCCACGGCAAGAAACGTCTGGAGTTATTTATCGGATCTGGTGCAGTTGCAGACAAAGCAACTACTTAGGAGAACCCGGAAGACTGCTCCGAACACGCTGCAGCAGTTCGGAGAAATGACGCCAGCTCTCAAGTTGTGACTCATTCGACGAGATCCTGTCACACATTCAAATTCGACGCGGCCGAAATTCTCGCTAGAGGTGACAACTGCGCGAGCCGCGAGCTGCTTGCGTCATGGTTCACTGGCTCCCCCAGTCCATTAACAAGTTCAACGACCTTCACCTCCCATACTCGGTGCTGAGACTTCGCCTAGGCGGAGTAATTAACCAGGCGGGGAGCGCACAGGCGAACACCATTCCCAACACCAAGGTCGGCGGGTTAGATGGTCGAGCAATCGTCACACCAACATCCAACACACGTGATGAAATTGCAGCAGTTAACTACGCGAATATCGGCCGTCAAACAATGACTGCACCAGGCGCAGCAGTCCCCGATGAAGGGGGAGTCGTGAATTTTTATAGGTATACGATAGCATGGCGACTGCATCCTATAAATACTGCAGCCCCTTGTGCATGAACCACCCGTATCTGCTGTTGTTTCTGATGATATGTTCGAGCACGAATCCGAAACGTCAAGCGAATAAAGCTCTTGTCCCAGCGATCATGTCTCTTCTTCTCCATCATCTCCAACCAGTGCCGGCCCGTGGTTTTTGCGCGTCTACCACCGTCAGGACATTCCTTTTCGGTAGTCCAGGCGACGCCTTGAAGTGCCTCTCCTGATCCTGGCTGATCGATCCAGCCTTGGTGGCGTCTTACGTAGAGGCGCCACCGTTTCTTTTGATGGACCTGCTGACCTCAATTCACCAATGAGAGCCAGAGAGTGACCACAAAACACCTAGGAACCTCTGCATGCCCCAGTAATGGTCGAAGAAGAGCTTTTCTTACTTGCATCAACCCAGCATCGGTGATTTGAAAGAAAAGAGCTTCTAACCACCGATTTAGGGGCCCTGAGGAACGATTTTGGACTTTCGCGTCAGGAATTTGCTGAAAGTGGAGCTACGAAAGAGAGGGGGCAAGCTCCTTTTTCGTTGCCGTACCTCTTAGGGGTTAGGTGTCAGGGTTAGGAGTTAGGGATCAAGGTTAGGGGTTCTTGAGTCTGTCTTGACACCGGAACCAGGTGGGGGCGGGGAGGGGAAGGAGAAGAGAGTGCAAAGATGCAGTGCAAGTCACCGTCTCCGTGCCCACGCTGTTGTGAAACCCAAGTGGACATCGTCAGAATCGACGGTCGAACTGTCACTTCGTAACTGTTTATTCCTTTTTCTCCCATAACACATACACACCGGGCCGTGCGTCTCTAAGGAAACTAGTTGTGGTGGTGGTGGGAGTCGTGAGCTGGTAATCACCTGCTAGAGGCAACACATACAGCAGTCTATTGTCGACCCCTACCATCAGTTAGCTTATTTTGAGATCAGTGTGTATTAATTCCAGCTTGAGGACTCCACAGTCTACTCCGACACTGACGAACTAGCGTTGAAGCGCTGATGGGACCTCGGTCTTCCGCTTATTCCGACACAAGCTTGACATTTTGCCGTCGGTTTCTGTCTCCGGTCGCAGACGCTGGTGGTATAGTTGGTTGAATGAGACATGGATAAGCCTGAAATGCAGTGCGTGATCGATCTCGGGAAATGTTGGCCGAAATTCTGAAAAGCGTTTTCGATTACGAAGGATTACTCGGGTGGATTTGTAATACTGATTATCTTGCGGCATAAACCTATAGTATTTCGAACTTGGTAGGATCTTGACTCTTGAATGCACTTCTTTTCGGCCTCCTGTAGAAACTGTACTCGGTAAAGAATGACTACTTATGTGGTGTGCATTTTTCACATTGATTTTCGATGGTCTCATAAATTCAAATATATTTCATAAAAACATGGACAAAAATGTTTTCTTTTATTCATGTGATAGAGAATCACGTCGTCTGTATATTGTTCACTTGAAGAAGGAGTATAATTAGGTTTTTAAAAAGTTTCTAGTGAGATTTTTTAAGACCTTGCAATGTCCATTCACACAGCATCGTACCTGTCCGTTTACCACTGCTCCTCATGAAATGCACAGCATAGGCTGCATTAATTGCAAAATTTTATGGACTCTATCTGGTATCTTTTTAAAGGCATAGAGGAATGTATGGTTTTCCATACACGGAACGCATGCGCCTTGTAGACTGAAATCACTAAGCGCTAATGCAACGGCTGATCAGGCCCCAAATTATTCGGGAATCAGAAAACTTTTTTAGAACCTAATTATACTCCTTCTTCAAGTGTACAATATACAGACGACATGATTCTCTATCGCATGTGATTTTGCATTCTCAGATATGACTGTTTGCTTTGCGCATTAGTTTACGCTGAGTGTTTCGCCTTTTGAAAGTGCACCCTATTCTGGGCGGTCTCCGGACTGCACGCCTTGAGGACGCTTGTCTTGATATACCCCCCCTTCTCTTCAGCTCGCCTTGTCCAGGTCCGCCCTGAGCAATCTGCTCGGTGGGATCGGCTACTTCTACGGCAGCTCGATTATACAGTCTCCGCTGCTGGGGCCCGATCCGCTTGATTACGGGCCGTCCAGTCTCTACACGGCGACTCCCTCGCGTCAGCAGTTTCCGCGCGGTTTCCTCTGGGATGAGGGCTTCCACGGCCTGTTGTTGGCCCAATGGGATGTGGAGATGGCTTTGCAGTCGCTGAGCCATTGGCTTGACCTCATGAATGCCGAGGGTTGGATCCCACGGGAGCAGATTCTGGGCTGGGAGGCCCGCGCGCGTGTGCCGGCCGAATTTGTTGTCCAATCTACGAGTGTGGCCAATCCGCCTACCTTGATGCTTGTTGTGGAGGTGCGTCTGTTCATTTTCACTGGGTGGCCTGTGAAATTCTTGGTCTCTCTTTGATGAATCTTGAATCACTTCTCCACTTCCATAGCCCACCAGTAATCATTATCGCAGTACCACAGTAAGTCCTATTGACCTTACGCTTCTCCGAATGCAGGCGCTGGGGACCTCTTAAACTAGCGGTAAAGGTCTATGATCTTGGTTTCTAACTTGCGAAAAAACACGTACCGAACTAATGCCGTTAACAGAGCAGTATCCCATATTTCTGACTAGACTCGCTAATACGGATGACGTCGCCTTGTCAGTTGGTATTCCAGGGGGTAGCACTTACGGCCGAATTTCTCTGCTATTGCTCGGGACATTTTGTCACACGTTATACACCTGGGATTCGAACCCAGGGCCTTTGGTCCTTGAGTCGAATGCCCTACCAATGAGTCAGGGGCACGTTGTCCTGTCGGTTTTGATCGGCTACTGACGGCTAATAAGCCAGAAATGGCCATTCCGGTCTGCTTTGTCTTTGTCGGTATCATCTCATTTACTTCTATTACTACTAGTGGCTGTGCGACTGCCTGCGATGGTTCTAGTGTGAGCCCCAAGGCACGACGGAACGTGCATTTTCGTAACTGGATCGGTGAGCGCCCATCTACCACAGATTATACGGTTTGAATTGAAGCTAACTAGTGAAAGTCAGGCCTAAATTCAGGGGCAGCGCTAATTTATATCTTACGAGGTCGGACGGGTTGTTTTGATGTCTCCACCTCGACTCTTCCCAACTACTTAATATGGTCTTTATGGCACTCTCGCCTGTGCGACGCCTAGAGCGAGGGCCGAATCGCGTGCGGTACGCGTAGACGGGTCATTTAACTTTGACAGCCGCCGCACTCGTGGTCACCCCCCCCCCCCGGTCGTCTGGACTTCTTGATATCGGGGAAGGCGAGTGAAGAAAGGGAGCGTGATAGATGCTACGCAAGTCTATCGCGCTCTAAACTGACTCACGCGCAAATCACCACGGCTGGACCCCATCTCTTGGGCTGCAGCGGACATCGTCCACGAGGGTCAAACTGACATCTTCCTCGTGAGCTAGAATCGAACGATATCAAGTAAGCCATAATGGCAATCCTACTATCTCTATTATCTTTGGTAGTACCTCTAGGACTTTGTATGGATGACCGCGCAGGTGACTCATAGTCGTGAAATCTAAAGACTTCTTTGAATTCACGACCATGAGTCACTTGCGCGGTCATCCGTACAAAATCAAGCTGGAGCGTACAAGCCTAGACCATCGGAAGTTTTCCTTCAGCCAGCGTGTTATCCGACCATTGAACCCACCCCCATTTGAAATAGTGACTGTAGTGGCTGTAGTCAAAAGGCAACTGGATCGTTTGATCTTTGATAAACGACGACTCACTGCAGAACTATCTGCGGCCAGCCATAAATTTTATTTCTTGATTTCATCTCTATGTAGCACATCCCTGGTGTTTCATGAAATTTTCCCTCTCAGACTGCGCAAATGACCACACTTTATGCTTATTGTATGTAATTGCACTTAAAATTTCATATGTACATTGAAAAGACCGCTTGCCTCACCCTTCGCAGTCCTGCACGGTAAAAACGTTTTCTGTAAGAATATATGTACTGGCAAAAGTTTAGTAAGATGTGCATTTAACATTTGTATTGTATGTACCGTTTTCAATAGGGTCATCATGGGCATTGTCTATTACCCCTATACAGGACGTTTTGTCTACCAAATCTGGCAGAATTTCGACCTTAAAGCGCAAGTCGGTCCTAGTCCTCGTAAATCTGCTATTGTCTATTTACCCGTTTTGCCTTTATTTCTCCAGCTAAAAGGATTCTTTAATAACCGTGTGATTGTTCTTTTGCGCTTCTTGATTGGGGTTTTTTATTCTCTTGTTTCACACTTTTAATCGCCCCCAGGCGTTACTGCAGCGGTTACCTACCATGTCTCCCGCCGACTCAGAACTCTTCGCAAAGTGGGCCACCAATGCGTTTCCTCGACTGCATAGCTGGTTTGTGTGGTTTAATACCACTCAGGTCGGTAACGTGCCAACCACCTACCGATGGCGCGGCCGGCCCTCTGATAATCCATTCCAACTAAACCCCTTGACATTGAGCTCAGGTAGGATTTGAATGCATGTACTACCGATTAATATATAGTAGCAATGTATTTTCGAACTTAATTTACTGTCACCAGTTCCGTTTGCTCCACCCCAGGCCTGGATGATTTCCCACGAGCTT